TAACAGATTTCAGTTTGATTGTGTGGCCTCAGCTAACAATAACAGTGTACTGGCACGGCGTTAAAGCCTGCTGTGGTCAACATTTCTGGAAGGATGGTCATGTGAACTCTAAGAGACATTAAGTCCATAAATTGCAGCATGAGATGCATGTTCCATCTGTGAATCGGTCAATTTGTTAATGTAGTCAGCATCGTGTTAATATATAGTTTTTTTGTGAGAATCAGAAGCAGTGCCCCTTCAACCCCCTGTGCTCTACCTTTCCTTTTAATCGTTCCCTTTAACCCCTCAAAGCTTGTCACCTTGTCCTTCTCTGCTCGTGTGCTGTTTGTTATTACGTCCCTCTTCTTTGTTCGATATGCACAGTGCATGTTTGTGCATGGTACCTGCCTTGTTCCAGCATGTGTGGCATTGCATGTCTATCCAAAGTCTATCCAACTTCTCTGCCTCTTCTCCTCTCTCTTGTCTTCTCTCATCCATGTGGCCAGGCCCTAGAGAGGCAGAAAGAGTACTTTGATTGCATTAGGAATGAAAGAGATGAGCTCAGAGATGAGCTCGCTGACATCAAGGGGAAATCCAAAGCAGGAGAGGTAGGTCAACCGAATGACAAAAAAATAAAGGTTACAGGAAAGAGCTGCTGGCCAAAAGATTTTTGTTGTTGTTGTTTTTGTTCTTCTTGGAACTAAGCCTGCTGTTTTGTTGTTATACTTTTTACTTCCACCGCTTTGTTTTTCTTTCCGCTTTCTTTGCTGTTTCACTTATTTTAATTCGTTTTTTGTTTTTTCCCCTGCTTCCTACTTGTGCATAACTTTTGGTAACTGCTGAATTTGTTCTTGACCCTGACTACGTTTCATTAAATAAAATTCCTAATGTATGCAAACATTATCACTGTAGCACTTGGATCTCAACATGTTAACTTTCCTGTTAACAGCAATGTGAGTTCAGATGATGAGAATGCACACTGCTAGGACGTGTTGTTGTAACAGTTCAATAGATTTAACTAGAGTCATGTTTCTTTACCCACTGCCAGATGGGGTGACGTTATCTGATATCAAATTTTGCAATAATATTAAAGTGTTTTGCAAAACTTGTCAGAACACAAGCAGAACATTGTTTGAAGCCATCATTATTCTCATCAAGCAGTTGTTGTTTCAGTCCTGTTTGTGCTTTCAGGCTTGGATTAGTGCAGCCTGTGCAGTGTCAGGGTGTAAAACATTGGAATGAATGTCTCGATCCACACGTTTAAACATCTACAAATCATTAACTGTTACATCCTGGAACCACAGCACTCACTGTGAGGGATGGTATCCTATAAAAAAAGTATAATAGAACAAGGCTTCAGCTAGCTTTTTTTTTTCTTAACTACAGAAACATGGGCTGGTCATCATCCCAGATGGTACACCAAACGGAGATGTCAACCACGAGTCTCCGTCCTCAGGGATCACTTTGGTCTCCCAGGAGGCCGCCCAGGTGCTGGAGTCTGCAGGAGAGGGTCCACTGGGTGAGTTGGACCACCTATTGCCTATATAGTGGGAATGTTTACAGCAAGCTAGGCATTTCATCAATTTTTCCTTGGAAAAGACTAAAGTTCTCAGCTTGATTAAATGTACTCTCCTTGTGTTTTGTAGATGTCAGGCTACGGAAGTTGGCAGAGGAGAAGGACGAACTTTTGGCTCAGATCAGGAAACTGAAGAATCAGCTGGAGGAGGAGAAACAGAAACACTCAAAGGTGGACAGTTCGTACACAGATGGGGAGAGGATTGAAAACGGTACAGACCTGCACCTTATTGAAATGCAGAGTAAGTTGACCTCGCTACCCGACTTACACAACAGCTAAACCGCAACCACCCCTTTTTGTTTTAACGTTGAAACTCTGCTCTCTGTAGGAGATGCCAACAGACAGATTAGTGAATACAAATTCAAGCTTTCAAAAGCAGAACAGGAAATGGGTACAATGGATCAAAATGTAAGTGAAATGTTTTGCAGAAACCTCAGTAAAAAAGTTTGTATTGTGGCTAAAATGGGAAACTAATCTGTTCCGGGTTTTGTTTTTGTTTGTTTTTCTCCCCCAGATTAACAGACTTGAAGGGCAAGTCTCCCGGTACAAGGCAGCGGCAGATAACGCAGAGAAAATCGAGGACGAACTTAAAGCAGAAAAACGTAAACTTCAAAGAGAGGTAACAACACCTAAATCAGATTTAGCCCAGAGCACAAACCTGATGTGGCAGAATGTTGACTGTGTTATCTCCCTCTGCTCCCCCACAGCTGCGCACAGCTTTAGATAAGGTAGAGGAGATGGAGATGACCAACAACCACCTAGTAAAGCGCCTTGAGAAAATGAAGGCCAACAGGAATGCCCTTCTGTCACAGCAATGAGGCAAGGCAGCGTCACCACAGAAGCCCTTAAATTCGCACCTCAGACCTCTGACTGCCATATTGCGACTGGAGCACATTTCCATTTTCAGCTGTAACACTTTGAGATTTGTAGCTAACCAAAAACACTTAAAACCTGTAGCACAGGCAAACGAACTGAACTGTTTTCTTTGTTTTTCTGAATCAGAGACATTGGTTTTGTGTGGGAATGAACTCAGAAATACGACTAATAAAACTACACAAGTTGCTGGGAGATACATCTGAGGACATTTCTCTACTCACTACTTAAAATTTCAGAGCTTTATACTACATCATGTTATCCATGAGATTTATTTCCCTCTGACTGGGTGCTTGACTGTACTTTTTGTTTTTTGTTTTTTTGATGTGCTTTTTTTTTTGTTTTGTTTTGTTTTTGTTCCATAAGTTGCATGAATGAGTATAATGATGCTTTTTAAACAATTCAACCCTGATGGCTGCTCCAGCCCCGCACCTTCCTGACTTCCTCTCACACAGTGAAGTGCCTTTTCACACCAGGAGATTGGGGGTCTGCACCGCTTAATAAAACAATAATTGTTTTAACAGGTACATGTATTTAAAAAGGAAAAAAAATAAAATAAAAAATAAAGGTGCAGTTATTATTTGAATATATATATATATAAAACCAACTGTGTCTGCTGCGGTTTCTTTGAAAATTTTCAAATATTTAAAAGATTTCTTGAAAATAAATGTGTCATTTACAGAAGTGTGGATTCCATTTGATTTTATTTTTTTATGTAGGACAATCGACCTACATTATTTCTACATAGATCTTAAGGCACTTTACATGTTAGGTACAACAGTTCTACTGGGAACTATTGTACTACTGGGATCTTCCCACACAACCATCATAGGGTTTAGAGAGGGGGATCCAAATCTCTGGGTGAAAATCCCTTGCTGATGCCAGTGGTCAGAGAATTGTCAGACTGCTTAAAGCTGCTAGGACGATAACGATAACCCAACCACTCGTCACAACCAAGTTGTGCAGAAGAGAATTTTCTTCTGCAACAATATGTTGAACCTTAAAGCAGATGGGTTACAGCAGCAGAAGACCACACTGGATGCCACTCCTTTCACCTAAGAACAGGAAACAGACTAAAAAGAAAAATGCCCCCTAGGCCGATTTCTGCTGCAGGATCATTGTGTGATGCTGTCACATCAGCATGTATTGAAAACTCTGCTGAATGTTTCCAGCACTGTTTTGAATCCGTGCCATGGAGAATTAATATAGTGCTGAAGGCAAAGGGGTGTCTAACCTGGTACTAGCAAGGTGCACCTACTTAAGTTCTGTCTCTTGAACCTAAACTAAAAGCTGGTTTGACAGGAGAGGGGTCTGATGGCTGATGATGTGCCACTTTTGGATACTCTTAGAACAAGAACTAAGCTGTCACTCTGAGACTGAGGCTCTGTTGAGATCATTTCTCATTCATGTGAGAAGAAATTTAACAGGGAGCCAGTGAAGAGAAACTAAGCTGTTCTTATTAACCAAGAGGTCTTCATTTGATTCTAATACTGAAGAGAAGCCCAAAATGTTATCAGGGGCCAAACGAGGACAATGCTGGTTTAACCACATACACCAGATACTCTTTCAATGTTCAACCCAACCATTATAGCGCCATCTTATGGTCAAATTGCTGGCATCCTGAAAGATTATTTCAAATAAGGAGGATTTTAAAAACCTCAAATGGAGCCCATCATTATGGCCCTTTAGTGATTCTTTTATGAGCTAAAAATACTTCAATGGCCAAGCTAAAGATTCATGCGAACATCTGGTGTCCTGTCATTCCCACTGCCCTGAAAGTGAAGGCTACAAAAAAGCCACAGAACAAAACTACAAATTTTGTGGACCATTTTTATTAAATATTATCTGCTTTTCTTCTGTTGTTTCCAGTCAAACTTTCTTTCCCATGAATGTCTTTTAACACGTTAATCCCACTGCTAAGTAATACTTGAAAGGGGCTGTCAGAATTCTTCACTTCAGGTTGTGTTACTGTGACGTGCGAGTAAAGAATTGAAGCTGATTTTGGAATCTTAAAAAGTGGAGCACATCTTTTAGATTTCTGCTTCTCTATGCATAGAGCGAGGGAAGTCTGCACCAATTTCCACTTTTGAAACTCTGAAATCAAAAGATGTGTTTAAAGTATAGAATTTAATTTGTCCCCGTTTGGAATCACTAGAATAACTCAGGTTCGTTTTCTTCTTTAAAAACGAAAGAGTAAATCAGGTTAAGTACAGTTCACTCACTTTTCTGGTCTTCTGCGGGTGTTAAACTAGTTACTGTCCCTCAGGTGTTAATGGAAACACTAGCAGAGCTGCTTTAACTTCCTTCACACAGAGTGCTGACACAGCTTCGACTGACAGGTGGAATGGAGAAGTAATAAAAGTCGAGCTCATTTGCTGGCACGTTTTCGGGTTTCGTTATGGGACTTGTGACCCACTTCTATTTTCCTGGCTTCATGCCTGAAGTCTTACTGTTAGGAAACCATGTGGAGCCTTGGCACTTTTCAGTAAGCCGTTCAGAAAGGGTTTCCTGTGACAGAGACTGTTTTATAACAGAATTTTTACTCATAAAGACAGAAATGTGAAGTCTTGTTTTCTATAAAGTATTTATTTACAGTATGTGTTATTTAAGAAAAAAGAAAAAGAGCTTATATAGTTGATTTTTTTCAGCCATGATGAGCAGTTTCAACACCTCTCAAACACTTTGTACAGATCGGGTAAGTTGGCGATCTGCAGCACAGTGCCATCCTCGCTGAAGCTCTTCGGAGGACTTAAGAGGGTTCGGAAAGCTTTAAAGATGAGGTGTTCGACTTTCCACCGCCAAGAGTTCACCTCAGTGCCCTGAAACATCACGAGCGTTACACCTCACACGAGACAAAACAAGGTCCATAACTGGCTGGACAATTTCTGCAAAGTTCAGTATTCACACCTGCTCCTCTCCTGGCTCGGCCTCCAGGATGTACTGCTTCCTGATGGAGTAGAACATGCTGCACTCTTTGCTGAAGTCTCTGAAACAGTCCTTTTCACCGTCCCAGTTCACCTGCACGACATCGCCGCACAAAGGTCTTCAGTTTGTGTTTCCAGAATTGTAGCTTAAATGGAGAGGCTATGATCTAGCTTAAATGGAGAGGCTATGATCTAGCTTACCTCAGTTGCCAGGCGCAGGATGAACATGGGGAGACCCTCCATGACTGGGGTGTAGTTGTCAAGGAGCAGCGGGAGTCCTAGTAGGTTTCCTTCCTGTTGTGGATGTGTTTTGGGTTTGGTTTCTTTTTTGGTTATAACATGAGTTCGAACAATGTTGAAATGCAAGCAGAAATTATCTAAAGAGAATATTTCTGACCTGGTCTATCTCCATGGAGAAGTAGTCCTCTAGCATCTCCGCTTTCTTTTTCAGGAAGTCCACTATGTACTGAGCCAGGCCTTCTTTGGGACCGTCCTCTTCAGTCCAGCCGCTCTCCTCTGACTCCAAAGCCAACATGGCCAAGTCATAAAGAGGTGCTGGGGTCTGAAAACACATTATCCACCATTAGGATCCACACAGTGTTTTCTAATCACTGACGTTGTACACTTTACTTACAGACAGTCTGAGTACACCGAAATTTCCAAAGTCATAAATGAGTATTTGGTAGAAAAGCTCCTGGCTGTAAGAGAAACACATTATGAGACATAAGCAGCACCAGCTTGAAAGAGCAGAGCTGAACAGAGTTTTTTCACGGTTCTCACCTGAGTTTGTTGGTGTTGAGCAGGTAGAGCTTAGTATGATGTTGCACCAGAGACCACTGGGGATTGACGCAGCCCACAAACGAGTGGTTCTGCATCATTTCTTGAAGACCTGGAGAGAACGTGCATGAATAAAACATGTTTGGCTCTGTTTTGTTATATAAATCACAAAAACTGCTCTTAAAGTTCATCAATAAAGGGTTTATTTGAGACATGCTGAGAGGTCGAATGAATCATTAGGAGAGCATGATTTAGCAGCAGAAGAAGTTGCGTAAAGCTGGTTATGAAAAACGACCTGGGCCCCGGAGCAGGAAGTCAAATCAGTGGAAAATTTTAGAGAGTCAAAGAGGTTCTTATGTTAGACTGCTCAGTTTAGCCGGGATGGAGATTCCCCAGATCTGATTCGGCGCTAGTGCTCAGAGGTACAGGGCAGGTTTTGTGACGCCACACCTTTGTGCGTGTTCTCTGTGATCTCAGCTCTCAGCTCTTTGATGCTGTTCAGTTTGATCACTCGTCTCTTGGGCGTGGCTGCGGCCGTCAAGTCCTCGCCTTCTTCCTGCTGCTGCTCTTTCTGCTCTGTCCTCGGTCGCTTCCTGTCACAATAACACACACAGACCCAATCACACCAGGTTACATTAAAAATGCTGTGGGACTTAACAGGATGTGCCAATGATCATACATGTTAACACACATTTAGTTGCAGATATTTGTTGTCTTAAAAATATAAAGTCTACATGTACTCCAAGATTGGACTGGATGACTTTCTTTGTTGGCCACTTGGGGGCACAAGAAACCAACAGTATTCATCTGGAGTCATGTTTCTGCTAAGCTAACTCCAATATTTATCCTTTCTTTATCTACTTCTACAACAAGGAGGAATATGTGGCTCTGAAGCTGCCAGATGTTTGACTTTTCTTGTCTGATTTGTCACAGCTGTTTTGTGCTGCGTACTTGGCTCACTTTAAATTTTGCCTGAAACTCTTTAATCACCCTTTACAGCTCAGGAATCTATCTATGAAGGATCTTCAGTGTTCATGTTTTAACAACTGTCTCGCCAAAACTCACCACTAGATGTCAGCAGGTTACAGTCAGCTGAATTCTGTTTTCTTACTCCTCCATATTCAAGTGAATAATGCAATAATGCCAGCTACAGTTGCTGCTGTAGGACAAACATCTCTGCCCGTTCATCTGTAGCGAGTGTGACTGTCACTCCACCGTTTACCTCACCCGTCAATATGTGTCCACGTCTATTTACTCTGGTGGAGGCTGTAAAACCTTGTGAAAGGAGTCTGATACCAGTTGATGAGTCAGTGAAAATCACTCCTGTGTAATCACAGCGATAATGAGCTGAGTTTCTGAGGATATCCTGAACCTTACTGTTGATAAGCGCTGCTCTTTTTTCAGCTGTTAGCTGTTGTTAGCTGGCGCTGAAAGTGAAACTTTCTTTAAAGTGGATCTAAAATCACCCTCACAGGTAGTGAATAAACTCTTATACAATGTGAGTTTAACCAAATAGTTTATCAGAGGGAAAGTGTGATTCTTAGGATACTCGAGCCTGGTGGTATACTATTACCTAATGTACGTGTGGCCAATCTTTAGCCACATACATAAACACATGTCGTCTTGATGCATTCTCAATCATCCAGGAAAATAAATCTCCAAAAGTTGATTCTGTTCATCTGGACGTAGCGTTTTCTGGGAGAAACGTTTCGTCACTCATCCAAGCGACTTCTTCAGTCTCCAGACTGAAGAAGAATCACACTTTCCCTCTGATAAACTATTTGGTTAAACTCACATTGTATAAGAGTTTATTCACTACCTGTGAGAGTGATTTTAGATCCACTTTAAAGAAAGTTTCACTTTCAGCGCCAGCTAACAACAGCTAACAGCTGAAAAAAGAGCAGCGCTTATCAACAGAAAGGTTCAGGATATCCTCAGAAACTCAGCTCATTATCGCTGTGATTACACAGGAGTGATTTTCACTGACTCATCAACTGGTATCAGACTCCTTTCACAAGGTTTTACAGCCTCCACCAGAGTAAATAGACGTGGACACATATTGACGGGTGAGGTAAACGGTGGAGTGACAGTCACACTCGCTACAGATGAACGGTGGATGAGTGACGAAACGTTTCTCCCAGAAAACGCTACGTCCAGATGAACAGAATCAACTTTTGGAGATAAAAACATGTCCATCTCAGCCACTGTATTCAATATGACTTGGCAACATGGTTTCACAAACCATCGCCTGCTCCTATGTATTTAATTCTATTTCTGTATTAATTCTAATTTAATGAGAAAGCAACACTTTGTTGGAAGACGTATTGATACACTCCTCAATGCATATTTAAGAGCACAGCGTTCTTTTTTTCAGTTAAATAACCTTAAAAAAATGACATGCTGTAACTTTAAATGCCAGTGTTAGTTAAACACAACACTGCTTTTGTTACTGATTGGCCCTAAGGGTGATGTCTCATCAGTGAGTGCTGATCCAAGTTTACTTTTACATTCCTCTTTCTGCTCTCTTACACAACTCATTTGCTGCGGGTCAATGTTCAGATTTGCTCACAATGCAGGATCAATCATACATTAGACTCGTCCTGATCTAACTTGCAGAAATTCTGACAGGATTACACTTAAAGTTACTCCCTGACTGAGTCTTTAATCCCTGCTGACTCACACAATCTAATGCTGCTACTGCTACTGCACATATGTAATTCACCTCTGATTATCAAGAGCACCGACGCTGCCTTGTTCCTCGCCCTTTGGCACCTCTGCTTCCTGTTCAGCCAGCGCCTCCAGCATGTCTGAGTCATCTACATCGTCCATCTCTATGCTGTCCGCCTGGATGGCTTTGATCGCAGTCTGCCCACTGCTGGGACCAGCAGGCTCGGGATCAGGGAGCGGCTTTTCCTTCGGTTGGAGGAAGGCATCTAGCTTCTGTGTGCGACAGTCGGTCCTCACCATCTGATGTGCGTAGACTCGCTCGCTAGACTCCGATGTGGTGCTGGAGGCCTTAACCTCCGTGTTACCTGAGACTGACAGTCCCGGCAACAACGTCTACACAAAGACAGAGATGGGCACAGACTGTAAATGACCTGGTGGTAACTTCCACTGCTGAAAGATGAAGCCAGGGCAAAAGCCTTTCATACAAATGTTGTCACTAGTGGTTGCAAAAAAACAAAGATGGAGACAGGAACGCTAAATTCGAGCTTTAAAAGAAATGCAGGAAATTAAAGCGACTGTATCCATCTTTTATCTACAGTCTGCAGTAAACACGTGGCGGTGCACAATACGTCAGATAATGTGGACGTGAAACAGTAAGGGCACAGTAAGAAAGAGACCTTGTCACTTCATACCTGAGTGAAATATGTACGTGAGGAGTTGGAGCCCAGGAGTTTGCTCTCGATGTGCTTCTGAACGCTCTCGATGACACTGTCCTCATGCAGGAAGTGCACTTCATGTTTAGTGGGATGAACATTAACATCCACATTCTGAGGAGCGATTTCTAAGCTGTGAAAGTTAGAAAGCAACAGTGATTCAAGGTTGTAACTCAAGAAACAGTGTTAGAAGAGTCCTAAATGTGATTCAGATATGTCAATAACAAGCAACAGATGGTCTTTGTTGATGCAGAGAAGCCCTTTGACCAAGCTGAACAATTTGGTTTAGGTCATAATTTCATTAACTCCTTTAAGGTTCTTTTTAATGGCCCTACAGCAACTGTTACAGCTAATGTGGTTAGGTCTAAAAAGTCTTAAGAGAGGAAGTCAACAGTCGCCTGTCGCCACTATTATTCAGTCTGGCTATAAAGTCGTTAACTGATACAAAAAGATGTGACCCTGCAGTCTGCAGGATTGTAATCGGTCAGGATCTTCATAAGATTACTTTATATGCTGATGATGTTTTATTATTCTTGTCTAACCCTACAAAAATCAGTAAATCGTCTAATAGAAATGATACATTTATTTTGTACCTTTTCTGGTATAAAAATGTATTTCTCCAAATCTGAGGCTATGTCAGCAACAGACACCCAAATCTTTTACTTCCTCCCCTTTAGAAATGGTCTCTGATGGGTTTTGTCTACTTGGGTATATTTCCAACATCCCAGTTTGATCAGATGTTTAAAGCTTATTTATGCAATAAGATTAAGCAAGATCTTGAACTTTACAACTCACTCCCTATGTCCTGGTTACATGGGGTCTCACTTCTTAAGATCAATGTTCTCCCACATCTGCTCTATCAAGCGAGGATGATTCAAATAGAAAAAAAATTTAAAAATATAAATGAAAGTTTCATCTGGTCCAAAAGATGGGCACTCATAAAGAAGTCAACTTTGCAGCTTCATAGAATTTAGAAAATATCAATTGAGACGTCTTCTTCAATTTAGCTTTATATTGAATCTTCAGCATCTAAGCACCCTCTTTCAAACCTAATTGTTATGAAGAATATGAAAACTGTAAAAGATTGAGGGAGGAAACCAAGAACAAGAAAAAAAACCAAGCACTGGAGGGAAGTGCAATGGATTGCAGTGAGAACTGAAATAACATCCATCTTCCCCAACTGTTACCAATCCGGATTTCTTACCAGGTCATTTAAACAATGGACTGTGAGGTTTTCTTTTAGAGACCAACTGGAGAATGTGGTCCTACTGACCTTTAATCAAATAGAGCAAGAATGTAAGATAGGAACAACCTCTTACATTACTTTCAGATAAGAGACTATGTCAATAACAAAACCAGTCCACTAAACAATGTCAAGGTCTCTGACACTGAAATTTTCTACAAGGAGTAATGTTTCAGTTAGCATGTTGTACAAAATTCAGAGGGTGTACTCTGGGACCAGGACAGCTGAGACAGACCTGGGAGAGCGGAAACATAATTCTGTATGTCCTCAAACAGAACATTTAGAATAATGTGAGAATAATGTGAGAAAAATAACAATTTGCAATTTAATGCATTACACCTTAAATTATGAACAGAACTTTTCTTTCACACTGCCCCTTTCAAACTTCAAGTCTGCCACTTCACTTTAATGTTGTAAGTGTAAAATAAACTGTCTTACACACATTTGAGTTCTCTGTGAATTGCAGAAAACTGAATTAAAACTGAGCTCAACCTGCTGTCTCTTCTCCTTGATCTCCCAAATATTTACATCTGTCTTTTCTGTGGCAGGAAAAAAATGTACTACTTAAGAGGATTTCTCATTAAACTCACCCAATCACTGGATGATACTGGAACACGCCCGTCATTATGTGCCTGGTCCAGTTTTAACAAGTTTTTAACAAGAACTTTT